AGACAGGGTTTCACCATGTTGACCAGGATGGCCTCGATCTCTTGACCTCGTGATCCACCCGCCTCGGCCTCCCAAAGTGCTGGGATTACAGTCTTGAGCCACCACGCCCGGCCAGTAAGTGAAATTTTATACCCATCGAATAGCAGCTCCCCATTTCCCCAACCGTTCAGCCTCTGGACAACCATTGTCGTACTGATGATAATGCTATTGTTATTTTTATAGTTATTTACTATGCGACTGTGTCTTTCCTCTATGTGGAGACCTACAGATAGGAATCTCTCATGGTCCCAGTTGAGTTGTTGCTTTTTATTTTATTTTTTCTTGAGATGGAGTTTTGCTCTTATTGCCCAGGTTGGAGAGCAGTGGTGCGATCTCAGCTCACCGCAACCTCTGCCTCCCAGGTTCAAGAGACCTTCTGCCTCAGCCTCCCAAGTAGCTGGGATTACAGGCATGCGCCACCACGCCCGGCTAATTTTGTATTTTTAGTAGAGACAGGGTTTCTCCATGTTGGTCAGGCTGGTCTCAAACTCCCGACCTCAGGTGATCTGTCCGCCTCGGCCTCCCAAAGTGCTGGGATCACAGCGTGAGCCAGTGCGCCTGGCCTGACTTGCTTCTTGTAGAAGACAGCTTAGTCTTAGACTGTGAAGATATCCTTAGACCTCCAGATATGTCATCCAAAACTGCTGATCTCTCAACACCATGCTGCAATTCTGGCTCCTCTTTCTACCTTGCATTCTACCGCTTCCCAGCTTCACAAAGGTGAGTTGTATATTTGTCATTCATCTTGGGTCAGTATTGTTTTCTCAGATGGGACCCAGCCCCAGAGGAGATGCAGAGTTTTCACCTAGAATCACTTCCAGTTGGCTCTGACCACTCATGAGAGGTGCAGAGAATACAAAAACGGAGGCTTCCTGTGACCTCCCTTGTGATGGAATGGCTTACGTCATTCTATTCACTTGAAGAAAAAGCTGGCCCTGGCTTTATCACTGCCTGCAGTTTCCCTGTTTCACTGTCTGCACTCTCACTGTTTCCCACCACTTCTTCTCACTTCCACGGCTGACACTGGTCCAAGCCACCACCATCGTGCACCTGGGTCACTGAGTTTGTCTCCTGACTGCTCTCCCCCGTTATCTCCATGCTTCCCCTTCGCTCTATTCTCAAAACAGCACCCACCCAGAGTGTACCTGCCCAAGACTGGCGAGTTCTTCCACATCTCCCTCTGGCTCGCTGGGCTTTTTTTGGTTTAAATTCATTTCTCTTGCCCTGCTGTCATTAGATATTGAAAAAAGCAAAATAGGCCAGGCGTGGTGGCTCACGCCTATAATCCCAGCCGGGTTTTGGGTATTACTAGAGGCAGCCGGCAACCATTAATATTGGACTGTTCTGTAATCCCAGCACTTTGGGAGGCCGAGGCGGGTGGATCACGAGGTCAAGAGATCGAGACCATCCTGGTCAACATGGTGAAACCCCGTCTCTACTAAAAATACAAAAAGTTAGCTGGGCATGGTGGCGCGTGCCTGTAATCCCAGCTACTCAGGAGGCTGAGGCAGGAGAATTGCCTGAACCCAGGAGGCGGAGGTTGCGGTGAGCCGAGATCGCGCCATTGCACTCCAGCCTGGGTAACATGAGTGAAACTCCGTCTCAAAAAAAAAAAAAAAAATATTGGACTGTTCGATCACAAGTACCCAAACCTGGATGCACAAAATGATCTCTCTTTCAGATCATCCCACGCAAGGCCTCCAAGTTCCTATCACATACTTCTTGTCTTTTCTTTTTTTCTTTTTGAGACGAAGTCTTGCTCTGCTGCCCAGGCTGGAGTGCAGTGTCTTAATCTTGGCTCACTGCAACCTCCACCTCCTGAATTCAAGAGATTCTCTGCCTCAGCCTCCTGAGTAGCTGGGATTACAGGCACCCGCCACCATGCCTGGCTAATTTTTGTATTTTTAGTAGAGATGGGGTTTCACTATCTTGACCAGGCTGGTCTTGAAATCCTGACCTTGTGATCCACCCTCCTCGGCCTCCCAAAGTGCTGGGATTACAGGCGTGAGCCACCGCGCCCAGCCATCCTGTCACATATATCTGTTAATTAATTAGTTCATTCAATATGTATTGATCAAGCACCTAATATGAGCCAGACAGATTATAAGGAAAAGAATAAAATAATTTTAGATTTAGTATGATAAGAACAATAAAAACAGCTGAAATGATGGAGAGGAATTGAAGGTCATGGAGACCTCTCGAGGGAATGAAATTTGAGCTGAGTCCAGAAGAGTGAGAGGGAGCCAGTCTTGCAAAGAGCAGAAGGAAAAACTCGTCCTGAGTCTGAAAAGGGATAGATTTATTTAAGGAATAGAAAAGAGGCCAGCGTGGCCTAGTGGCGGGGAGTCGGGGAGGAGGACTGGGGGGTCCCAAGCTTCACGGTAGTAAGAGTATCCACTGTACCCAATATCCAAAAGCAGTGGCTTTCTTTTTTTTTTTTTTTTTTTTTTTTTTTTTTTGT